GGAAACCTATCTCAGCCTGCCGACGTCCCCGTCCGACGCTAAGAGCAATCATGCCTCTGAAGAGATTGTAGACCCGGTGGAGCTGGTGCTCCTGGACGTCCATGTTCCACGAGCCCCTTGCCACTGCCACAAGTCGTGTGCTGTTAGGCAGTGACTGGCGTTTGGTGGGAGCAAACCTTGGCAGGCACAGGTTGAGATGTCACAGTGGAACGCAGCACAAGACCGTGCCCATCCCAGGCAACTCGGTGGCTCGGGGTCCCCGCTGTGGCTCCGGACGTCCAGAGAGACGTCTCCTGCGGTTTTGCACGTTCCCCAGCCCCAGGACCCTGGCTGGCAGCGTGCGGTGGGCGTGGGAGGAGGCCAGTGCAGACCGTGGGGAGAACTGTGCCGGGCGATGGACGGCCTGTTTTCTACCCACAGGTGCCTTCTTCATCCCCTACCTCATCTTCCTCTTCACCTGTGGCATTCCTGTCTTCCTTCTGGAGACAGCACTGGGCCAGTACACTAGCCAGGGAGGCGTCACGGCCTGGAGGAAGATCTGCCCCATCTTCGAGGGTGAGTAGTTCTGTGCCTGATTCCGGGCTGCCCTTCTTCGTGGTATAAACCTCACGGGGACGACTTCAGTGAGTAGCAGCAGTTGTGGGGTCAGGCGAAGACTCTGCCTCCCGGCTTGCGGCCGAACACTGAGCTCATCGCCTGGTCCGTCTGAGAATGGGGCCAAGGCTTTAGGTTAAATAAGTAGAATGTAAAGCTATTTTAGCGGTATATATACATATATATAAAATGTGCAACAGTGACTTTGTATTTTAAAGACAATTATAAAATATTTTAAAAGAGAATTTTAAATGAGAAAAAAAATCATGTCATTAACAGTTCTACCATCTTGACACAGTATTTAAAATTTAGTGTATTTTATCTCATTATTTCTTTCTCTCTCTCTATAGGATTTCTTTAACGTTTTATTTTGAAGGAATTATAGACACACAGGAAGTTACAAAAATAGTATAGAGAGGTCCTATGTACCCTTCAGTCAGCTTTACCCGATCTAATGTATCTACGATAGAGTATCAAACCCTGGGAATTGTCTCTAGCACTTTCCACAGACCTCAGTCAGATGTCACAGTTTCCCACGCACTGATCTGTGTGTCTGCGTGTGCTTCTGTGTGACGCCATCGCATGTCCGGTTTGCGTGACCACCGCCACGGTGAAGGCACAGAACCGCCCCGTCCCCACAGAGGCCTTGCTGCGCGAGGGGCCGGCCCAGCCCACCCTCCCCCTGCCTAACCTGTGGCAGCCACGGATCCGTCCCTGGCTCTGTGACTTTGTTGTTTTGAGAATGTTACATAAATGGGATCATACGGTCTGTGAGCTTTTGAGATTGGCTTTTTCACTCAGCAGGACGCCCTTAAGATCCACGAACTCGTGGTCACAGGTGTGTCCATAGTTTGTTCCCTTTTGGGGCTGGGTAGTTTTCCACGGCGTGATCGTGCCACGGTGTGTTGAACCGCTCACCCCCGGGAGAGCGTTTGGGGTGCCTCCAGTTTGTTCCTCTTTCTACACAGTTTGTATATCTATTGATACGGAGCATGCATTTTATGTTTTCTTTTTTCCAGTTAGTTTTATTTTCCATTTTCCACACAATAACCATTTAATGGCTGTACAAACTTCCATCAACTGGATATATCATAATTTACTTAATAGTTCTGTGGGGCTTTTTGCTTATGTTCAATTACTTGTAAAATTTTATATTTTGCTGTCATGTATATTTGTTCAGACAGCTGCCCTCCCTGTTGGAATTATTTCTTTGGCATAAATTCCCAGGATAAGAATTAGTGGAGCAAATGGGCAGTCTAGTTGCCGTCTCTCAATCTGGTTTATAAAGCTGTCCTGTGGGTCTGGTGCACCCACTTGCGACATCAGCAGACGGGAGCAGGCATCTTACCCCCGTCCCTAACGGCTCTGGGTCCCATCAGCAGTCCCCAGACTTGTCTGCCATCGACATCCCTTGCGGACCTTCAGAATATCCTGACCTGTGCCCCCTGCCCAGAGAGTACGATTGTTAATGAGCGGTCTGAGGTCTGGCCCGGGCTTTGGAATTTTGTAAATCTCCAGTAATTCTAATGTGCCGACCAGTCTGGAGACCACTGAGTCGTATCATCTGTAAAAACGATCACCAAGCTTGTAGATCCAGAGCGATGCCTCCTCACTGTTCCATTCAGCGCATCTACGATTACTAAGAGACATTCGTGTTCGTGTTTTCTCCTGTGTGAATTGTCTGTCCTGCTCTAACTCAGGTTGCGATATTTCAGAAATGAATCAGACTGATCCCGAGGAACATCAGCTATTGGTGTCTTGGAGTTAGTCTCACACATTTTAAGAACGATTTTGGATCTGCGAGCGTTCAGAACCTGGCGACGGCAGGGAGGGCTGGCAGGCACAGGCCGGGGGCAGGCGCGGGGAGAAAGCCAGGCCCCGGTCACCGACGGTGGGTGCGAACGTGGGCGGAGCTCCCGGCCCCACTCCGCGGTTCCCCGCAGGCATCGGCTACGCCTCCCAGATGATTGTCACGCTCCTCAACTTCTACTACATCGTCGTCCTGGCCTGGGCCCTCTTCTACCTCTTCAGCAGCTTCACCGCCGACCTGCCCTGGGGCAGCTGCCGCCACGAGTGGAACACAGGTGAGCTCTGCGCCCAGGCCACTTCCTCCTCCTCCTCCGCGGTCACCAGGGTGGGATTGTCCCGTGTCCCGGCAGCCCCCTCCCCAGTCTCAGCACGGGCACCCGGAGTCGCCAGCAGCCCGCGGAGAGCTCACGGCGGAGCAGAGCCAGCGCTCAC